CCAGCGCCGGGGGCGGAGGGTGGGCATGGGGGTGGGTGAGTGCCCGCTGGCACCCAGCGGGATGGGGCAGGGTGGGCTAGGGGACAGCAGGGCATGGGGAGCCCAGGGTGGGAGGGGAGGGAGGGGGACACGCACTGGCACCGTGCACAGGTTCCTCCGGCCGCGTGCGAGGCTGTGCTCTGAGCGGGATGGGGATGGAGCATCCCATGGGAGGGAGCAGGGGCACAGCTCCCCGGGCTGGGGCTCACCTCTGCCAAGGCAGAGCTTGGGCCGGCTTGGGCTGTAGCATCGTGGCCAGAGGGGAGGGTGCCCAGGGCTGTGCTGTGCGTGCCTGTGTTATTGTATGGTAAGTTATTTTCTGATTGTGAATAAAAGTGGATTGGAGACAGCACGGGGTATTTCGGGGCGCAGCACCCTGCTCTTCTCACCGACCAGGGCTCTCTGCTCCTGCAGGATGCCAGAAGAGTGGAGGGTGACGCTAGGTACGTGCGAAATTTTCTCCCCAGTGCTCTGCTGCCATCCCATAACAGCAGCCCTTGGAGCTGTTTGCAGACTGGCAGGAGGTGGGTACCTGCCATGGGCACCCCAAGGCGTTGCAAGATGGCTCCTGGGAGGCTCCTGCCAAGCCGGACACACGCTGGACCCCATCCATCCCGTGGGAATCCCAGCTCTTGGCTCCATGCCTGTGGCTGTGCCAGGGCTGGGGGCTGTGCTGCAGCCCCCCCTCTCCTGGGAAGGGATGCTGGAGCCAGAGAGTAGGGAGAGGGGAAGGCAGCGAGGCCAGGCCAGGCAATGGAGGTCCGCAAATGGCACCTGGCTGCGGTGGCAGGGAGGGCACCCATCCGGCTGCAGCAGCCCGCGGGGGCCAGGCAGTGAATCACGCTGCTGGTATCTCCCGGCTGATAACTTCCCCGCTCCTCCCACGGCTGCGGGGCCCCTGGGGGACGAGTGCCCCAGGCCCAGCGGGGAGTGGCCCGTGTCCTCGTTTCATAACGCTCCCGCAGGCAGCGGGGAGCTGGGTTGGCTGGGCAGGGTGCTCTGCCCTTCGCCAGCCCTGGGCAGGGGGCTGGCTTTGCCCCTCCAGGAGGGGCTGGGTAGATGGGTCCTTACCCTTGGAGCCAGCTGTGTTTTGGGGGCTGAGCAGAAGAAGAGGGTGCTGGAGGTGGTGGAGGGAAGCATGGGAGCTGCTGTGACCTTGTGGCACCTGCATGGCTCCATCTGCAGTGCAGCAGGGACAGCAGGGCACATGGCCACCGCGGTGGCTCCTGGCAGCAAAGACCTGGGGCTGGTGACCTCGCAGGGATGAGGTCTCAGCTTGGGGCTCAGGGCACCCAGTCTCACCCTGCGGGGCACGAAAGCAGCAGTGCTCCTGTGGGGTGAGTTTGCTCTGGCAGGACATGTTCCAGCAGTTCATTTTCCCTCCTGGGGTCCTGCTTTTCCATCTCCAATACCCGTCTCCAACATCAGGGTCCTTTTTCCAAATCCCCAAGCCTTTCGCCCTTTGCCCCAAGCACTACCAGACCCCCTGATGTCCCCTCGCCACCCCATCTCCCCCATCCATCCCAGGCTGGCCAAAACCCTGTGTCCCAGGGCTGTGCTGCCCAGGGCTGTGGGGCTCTGCACATCCATCATGCTTCGGCACTTTGTAGGTGGCTTTGGCTTCCCATCTCCCAGGGGCTGCTGTGCAGGCTCCTGTGATCTCAGGGCTGCCTGGGGTGATGACTGGCTCACTGCCGAGCTCTCCCTGCACCTCACCGTCCCCTTTGCTCCCCTGCTTGCTGATCCCAGACCAGCTGTGCTGCAACAGCTGGATCCCAGCACACAGCTCCCCTGGCCGGGCAGAGCTGAGGAAGGGACCGGAGTGGGGACAAGGTGTGTTTGATGATGCAGAGGGAGATGCAGGGCACGGACCTTCCCCTCAAGCACATCTGACATCTCCCAGCGAGGGAGCAGGCTCTGAGCACTCTGGGGCTGTAAAGACTGCAGCTTGCTGTCCCCTTGCCCCCTCATTTTGGGAACATAGCGTTGTGAAATGGCACACCAGTAATGCCAGCACAGCCAGGGTGAGACACCCAGCACAGCCTGGCCACCAAGCCTGGCAAGCCACGGTGCCTGCTGCTGTTTTGTTCTGCAGAGACCCCATCTGAGCTTGGGACCCTGGGACATTCGATCTTGGTGGGTCTGTGGGCGGCATGGGCAGGGGTGCAAGCGCAGCGCTTTGGGGGTGCTTTGGGCTGCGGGCAGCGTGCTCTGGGTGCAGGCAGCTCCAGGGTGAAGGCTGCGTGGTCGAAGGAGCTCATTCCCTCCCGGGGCCAGCTGGCTCCCAGTGCAATACCAACCTTCAAGATCTGCTCTGTGGCTT